GTCATTTCCGACCCTATAAATCATATATATTCTTGATCAGCGTCAAAAGGGGTGTTGATCTAGCCATGTCTGGTCGAAAAATAAATTTTCGCAATTTTGTCGAAATTTGAAAAAAAGATAAGGGGTTACATCGTTAAAATTGTCAAAAATTGATAAAAATTTCAATATTCTAATATTTAAAATTGAGTATGCAGCTTTGTTAATCTGCTAAAAACTTGCATAGAACAGCTTTCCGAATTGAAATTAATCATTTTTTGGCTTAGTTATAAGTTTTTTAAACTAAGATTTTCGGATAAAATTATCTGTTTTTACACCTTTTTGCTGGTTATTATAATTTTATTCGGATACTTATAACAGCATCAACAAACGCAGTATGCAGATTTGTTAGTGCTATAAAAACTGGTACAGAAAAGCTTTCCGAGTCAAAATTATTGCTATTTTGGCTTAATTATGATATGTGCAAAATTTAGAATTTTTAATAAAATTGTCTGTTTTTATACCTTTTTGCAGAATATAATTTCAGTCAGAAGATTAAAACGCAGTGAAGGAGTCATTTCCGACCCTATAAATCACATATATTCTTGATCAGCGTCAAAAGGGGTGTTGATCTAGCCATGTCTGGTCGAAAAATAAATTTTCGCAATTTTGTCGAAATTTGAAAAAAAGATAAGGGGTTACATCGTTAAAATTGTCAAAAATTGATAAAAATTTCAATATTCTAATATTTAAAATTGAGTATGCAGCTTTGTTAATCTGCTAAAAACTTGCATAGAACAGCTTTCCGAATTGAAATTAATGATTTTTTGGCATAGTTATGAGTTTTTTAAACTAAGATTTTGGGAAGAAAATTTTCTATTTTTATACCTTTCTGCTGGTTATTATAATTTTATTCGGAAACTTGTAACAGCATCAACAAACGCAGTACGCAGATTTGTTAGTGCTATAAAAACTGGTACAGAAAAGCTTTCCGAGTCAAAATTATTTCTATTTTGGCTTAATTATGATATGTGCAAAATTTAGAATTTTTAATAAATTTGTCTGTTTTTATACCTTTTTGCAGAATATAATTTCAGTCAGAAGATTAAAACGCAGTGAAGGAGTCATTTCCGACCCTATAAATCACATATATTCTTGATCAGCGTCAAAAGGGGTGTTGATCTAGCCATGTCTGGTCGAAAAATAAATTTTCGCAATTTTGTCGAAATTTGAAAAAAAGATAAGGGGTTACATCGTTAAAATTGTCAAAAATTGATAAAAATTTCAATATTCTAATATTTAAAATTGAGTATGCAGCTTTGTTAATCTGCTAAAAACTTGCATAGAACAGCTTTCCGAATTGAAATTAATCATTTTTTGGCTTAGTTATAAGTTTTTTAAACTAAGATTTTCGGATAAAATTATCTGTTTTTACACCTTTTTGCTGGTTATTATAATTTTATTCGGATACTTATAACAGCATCAACAAACGCAGTATGCAGATTTGTTAGTGCTATAAAAACTGGTACAGAAAAGCTTTCCGAGTCAAAATTATTGCTATTTTGGCTTAATTATGATATGTGCAAAATTTAGAATTTTTAATAAAATTGTCTGTTTTTATACCTTTTTGCAGAATATAATTTCAGTCAGAAGATTAAAACGCAGTGAAGGAGTCATTTCCGACCCTATAAATCACATATATTCTTGATCAGCGTCAAAAGGGGTGTTGATCTAGCCATGTCTGGTCGAAAAATAAATTTTCGCAATTTTGTCGAAATTTGAAAAAAAGATAAGGGGTTACATCGTTAAAATTGTCAAAAATTGATAAAAATTTCAATATTCTAATATTTAAAATTGAGTATGCAGCTTTGTTAATCTGCTAAAAACTTGCATAGAACAGCTTTCCGAATTGAAATTAATGATTTTTTGGCATAGTTATGAGTTTTTTAAACTAAGATTTTGGGAAGAAAATTTTCTATTTTTATACCTTTCTGCTGGTTATTATAATTTTATTCGGAAACTTGTAACAGCATCAACAAACGCAGTACGCAGATTTGTTAGTGCTATAAAAACTGGTACAGAAAAGCTTTCCGAGTCAAAATTATTTCTATTTTGGCTTAATTATGATATGTGCAAAATTTAGAATTTTTAATAAATTTGTCTGTTTTTATACCTTTTTGCAGAATATAATTTCAGTCAGAAGATTAAAACGCAGTGAAGGAGTCATGTCCGACCCTATAAATCATACATATTCTTGATCAGCGTCAAAAGGGGTGTTGATCTAGCCATGTCTGGTCGAAAAATAAATTTTCGCAATTTTGTCGAAATTTGAAAAAAAGATAAGGGGTTACATCGTTAAAATTGTCAAAAATTGATAAAAATTTCAATTTTCTAATATTTAAAATTGAGTATGCAGCTTTGTTAATCTGCTAAAAACTTGCATAGAACAGCTTTCCGAATTGAAATTAATCATTTTTTGGCTTAGTTATAAGTTTTTTAAACTAAGATTTTCGGAAAAAATGATCTGTTTTTATACCTTTTTGCTGGTTATTATAATTTTATTCGGAAACTTGTAACAGCATCAACAAACGCAGTATGCAGATTTGTTAGTGCTATAAAAACTGGTACAGAAAAGCTTTCCGAGTCAAAATTATTGCTATTTTGGCTTAATTATGGTATGTGCAAAATTTAGAATTTTTAAGAAAATTGTCTGTTTTTATACCTTTTTGCTGAATATAATTTCAGTCAGAAGATTAAAACGCAGTGAAGGAGTCATTTCCGACCATATAAATCATATATATTCTTGATCAGCGTCAAAAGGGGTATTGATCTAGCCATGTCCGGTCGAAATTTGTAATTTAATTAATAATTTATCATTTTTTTAATTTTTAATTGAGTATGCAGATTTGTTAACCTAATAATAACAAGCACAGAACAGCTTTCTGAATTGAATTTAATGCATTTTTGACTTATTTATGAACAATTTTAAATTCCAATTTCCTGATCCAATTTCATCAATCTTATTAATTTTTGGTTTACCATCAAGTATATAATTATAATTTATAACCTATAATTTTTAACAGTGTTATCAAATAAAGTTCGGTTTCGGGGAGAGTTGAGAATTGTTGGCAGTATTTCAAGTGCACCGCCCACCGCCTCGCATCGAGTCCACTTGCTCCTGTTTTGCGTAACTGTTACCATTTTAATGCGCTCGAGTGTCTGGGGACAAAATTGATTTTCGTTACCCATTGTGTTTGGGCACTTTGAAGAGCATTTGGACTCATAAAGAATTTGTGCCTACACAAGGTGAAATTGCACTGAGCTGATTGAAAATATGGTGGAGGCAACGATAGGCGAGGCGCTCTCGTCACTCAATTTTGTAGAGCCACAAATACGAAACTCAAAAGGCCACTTGATAAATTTCATATATTTATAGCCCGCAGAGTGACGCTCTGCATTTGCACACTGAATGAAATTCCCTGAGCACACACACACACACATAGCACAAGGACATTTTGGGTGGCTTAGCCCCCGGTTCCTCACCCATACCGCCCACTCCCCACTGCAGCTTGGCCAAACACTTGCACAAATAAAAGATCTACTTCAACTTATTGAATTTTCGTTGATAGAAACAAGCTGCAAGATGACGGAAAAAGGGAAAATGAATACCCTTTTACAGGATATTAATAAATAAATATAAACCGAGAAGTCAAGAACATAGGTAATCTCAAAGTGTTACTATAAATATTATTTTTAAATCATTTATGGTGATTAAAAAAAATAAAAAAACCTAAGTTATTATGTATCAAGCATTCTCTATAAAAAGCTCCCCATTGGGACTCTGTTTTTCACCGCATCCTGACTTTTCTACACCGATTATGTCGTAACACAACTGTCCAACTACGTGAGTGTATTCCAGCTTTGGCAGGTCCTTCCATTCGCCGGATGTCTTCAGCTACCTTCTACACAAAGGAAGGCCACAAAAGGCAATTGCATATGAGTTTTATGAGAGATTCTTTTGAACGCTCCGCCCCGTAGCGTATCCTTTTGACTGTGACAAATCCGTTAAGTCGCGAATTTCGTTCATTATTATTATTGTGCGACTGTGTATAGTATTTGGCTGCGAGTGTGTGCCAGGAATTGGGCTCTGACCTCGGCCATCCATCCATCGGGATATGATGAGGACGAGTGGTAAGTGTAATCAAATTCCAACCCGAGTCCCGGGCATGAACTCTAGACAGAACTGGCTGAGCAGGAACTTGACGGCGTTTTATTATTAAATTTGAGGCCATTGCACACACAATGCGATATCCTGCCGTGCGCCCGAGCGCTGTGCGAAATTATTAAAAAGTAATTATGGCACAAATTACGAGATATCAATATAGCATTTAGCTCTGCATGAGGCCCGGCTACAAAGGGACTCACCACCACTTGAATTCGGTGCAAATCCTTTGGCTCTCACATACATACATATCCCATAGAATTGCATTTCCTCTACGGCTGTCTGGCACAATGTGATAGATTCCTTGGGCCTCATTGTTCGACGACTTCTTCTTCTTCGGCTCCTTCGACATCTCTTCACATGTTATGCAACATTTTCCGACATTATATCGAGATTATTATACGATTTGAAGTCTGAAGGTACCGCTTCCAGGGTAGTTCTCGGCCAAAGATCATTTTCATTTGACTCTCGCCAAAGGAAAGGTCGAGTCGAGTTTGTACACAATTAATTGTAGCATTTGAGAGATTTATAATGAGACCTTGTAGGGCAATAAATCCTACTTAAGGTACAAACTTTTTGTTATTCTTTTGATGGAGTATTATGTTGTGAAACATATTAAAAATTGCATAGGTTAACGGAAGAGATTAACTTTGGCATTGAAATTATAAATATGGGGAGGGATCCAGGCTGTAAAAATTAGATCAATCTCCTTGTTTTGTTTTTGTTTTCACTCTCACTTCCTTAAGCTAATTACTAAAACTCCTAAAACTAATTATCAAAATGAAGAACAAAGTTAGCTAAGCTTTATAAATCCAACAGATCTTATATACCAGATATGTTACATCAATAACATCGATACACCCAGTTTCCAAAACAAAAACATATTTTTGCCAAACTTAAAAAAAAATCCCTTTTCGATATTTGTTTTGAACTTGAGGCCCTCCGAAATGTTGTTTACTTACAAGGAACTAATTGACTTGGCCATTGGCACTCCGGAATCGGGACACGTTAATTTTTATGCGTTGCAAGTTTTACTTACGTGCTTTGCCCAGCGCCTGGAGGTCCTCGATAAAGTGGTCGAAGTGCAGAACAGTTTCCGTAAGTGGATCTATTTCATTAGCCACTGTTCTTAGTTTTCAAAATTGTTTAGACCTTGGAATGGATTCGGAGTTCCGACTGTTTGCCGGAGCGGATGAGGAGGGAGAAGCACCTGGAGAGTCGGCAAATGAAGCAGCCGAGGAGGAAGCAGTTGAGGAAGCACCAGTACAGGAGGCACCCGTCGAGGAGGCACCAGTTGTGGAGGCGCCAGTTGAGGAGGCACCAGTTGAGGAGGCACCAGTTGAGGAAGCGCCAGTTCAAGAGCCACCAGTTGCGGAGGCACCAGTTGAGGAGGCGGCAGCTGAGGAGTCGCCACCTCAACCACTTACCGAAGGAGACACCAAGATAAAAATAGAAATCATAGAAGGTAAAACTGACGGAGACGGAACAGAACCTGGTCCTGATTCGGCCGAAACTGAACAAGTTCCTGATGACGCTAACCAAGCTGCCCAAGTCACCACGCCAAGTCGAAAGGAAGGGGAATCGTTGCTTTCTGCTCGCTCATCCCACAGGAAATTGCCGTCGACAGTTGATCCTTCCGTAGTTACCACTATCATGCGCCTGGAAAAACGCTTGTCTTTAATAGAAGTTAACAATGAGAAGGCTGTTGTAGATATGGAACAGTTTGTGAGCCATTTTAAGGTCCAGATGATGTTGACCATTGAGCAGATTAATAATGTGGCCCACATACTGATCGACCGGAAACGTGACCCGCATAGGATAAAGGTAGTCCGTCTATTTGCAAAACAACTTAAGGCACTTTTGCAAACCGGAAGCACCAAGGAGATCTCCGTCAGTTGGTCCAGTGATGACGTCGACGTAGATGCAGATCAGGAGGAGGATTTGATAGAGGATGATTTTCTAGAGGAGGATTATTCGGGAATGGCGGAATTCACGGCATCCCAACCATCAGCATTCTTAAAAGGAGATATGCCCCTTGGCTTGGAGCGAGTCTACAATGATGTAGTGCATCTTAAAACACAAGTCTGTGCCCTCACCAACAATGTCAACGATCTGGCGGATTTAATGGTGAAACACGACTGCCAGGTATTGTTGGGTAAATTTGGACAACTCCAGAATGGGATCCAGGACTTGCATGTCTTCAAGAGCAGCACTCAGGAAGCCACTTCCCATATTATGGACATCCTGAATGGAGCTACCAAGCAGATTGACAATTTGCAAAGGTCCGCTCTCCTTTTGGATGAACGGAAGTCTGACAGAATGGAGGTGGAACTTATGATGGCGGAGAAAGTCAACTTCGAGCAACTGGGCACCAAAGTTTCCCTAGAGCAGCTTGAGGACTTCAAATTCACGCTGGACAAAATGTTCTGCGAAGTTCGTAACGTCGTCAGTGAGAACGAGAGGAATGTCCTGGAAATCATCGATAATTTGCGAATGACCCTGGGCATCGATGCCATGGAAGTGGGTCTTAAGGAATTCCGTCAGATGATAGAGAAGAGGGTGGGAATGATCGCTGATGCTCTACAGGGATACATGGAGATGACAAACGACGAATGTGCTGCAGCCGCTGGCAGAGTCAAGGTCATGCAGGACTTGGCCTGCCTCTCCTGTGATACCACCTGCTTAATGCGCACAGTGGAGCGTCAGAAACTGCCATCTATGCCAACGGCCAAGGGTTCCGTTGGTCTGGCTCCACTTGTAGCCTATGATGTGGGACAGATTCGCGGCACTGGTCTTATGGGTTACTATCGCAAGGACGAGTTCCCGTGCTCGCCCCACGCCTGGACCAAGGGAACTTCCCGTGTCCCACTTGACAAGTGTAATCCCAGACATGCCGGAGGAGTTCACACCGTCCACACAGCTGAAGAGCATGTCCAGAAGGTCGTTCTCTCCAAGAGGAACTCGGGATGGGTGTAGAACGAAATGCTTACCTACCATATTATCATTTAAATTTAGCAGATTTACAAAATATATGAAAAAAAATATACTATTTACAATGTTAAGATGATATTAAAACCACATTATACCCCTTAAAATGTAACGAATTTGTCTTTTCATTTTGTTTATTTCTTGCCATGCTTTTCCTTAATGATTATTACTACCTTTATGTCAGCTAATATGGCTAATTACACACGAAGATCTCTTACAGATAGACAATTCGTTTGGTTTTTACGACTACGTTAACTTTGGCCATAGACAAAGCTCTCAGATATCTTACAATGCGTGGGCTATATAGATAACTACTTCTATATATCTACATATACATATATGTACATAACGAGTCCTTCTTGGGTCTGTTCAGTCCTCGCCCTTGGTTACCACGGAGACGGGCGTGGAGGCGTTACTACTGGCTCCCGCCGCACTGCTGGGCGACTGGGCCGCCGTCGAGGTGAGCATCAGTCCGCCCGAGATCAGGGTGGTACCGCCCCCGCCTCCCGATGGGGGCGTGACATGGGGCGGCGTGGGATGAGGCACTAGCTTGGGACTCTCGCGCGGACTGCTGTTGCTGCAGGGCGGGCTCACCTGGCTCAAGCCGGCGGAGAGGCCGGCGTGGAGCGATAGGTTCTGCGGATATCCGGCCGTGGGCACAGCCGCAGCAGCCGCCGCTGCTGCAGCAGCTGCTCCCGCACCAAAGATCCCGTTCAGGTTGCTCAGGCCCATGTACTGGGAGAGCAGGGTGTGGAAGTTGGGCAACTTGTAGTGGGGCGCCATCAGTTGCTGGGGCAGCAGACCGGCGGCGGCGGCTGCAGCTGGATTGAAGTGCTGATGCAGGGCAAAGTGCGGGGGCCAGAACTCGGTGGGCAGGGCGCCCGGATGGCCGGGCAGGCCCGGATGACCTGGCAGGGGAATGCCCAGCGGAAATTCAGGCAGTCCTGGAAAGGAAAAGGCAAAAGGGTGGTTCGGTTAGTCCAACTTCCAGAGGGTGCTGACAAGCGACATAATTCCTAATTATGTTGCACACGTAATTTGGCAATTTGCGGGCAAATCAAATGCGTATCGCTGGGCGGCAGGATTATTACTGCATTGGCGGGGGTGGTTAACTCACCTTGATCGGGCAGGAGGTAGCCGGCCTTGTCCTGATTCATAAACTTCTCACGTTTGCGCCATTTGGCCCGACGGTTTTGGAACCACACCTGCAAGAGCACAGAAAGAAGGAGATATTGAGTTGGAGTTGTGCGTATGCAAATGCATTTACCCCTTAATTTGGGGTATATCAGACTAAAGCTAAGGGAAATCAAGAAAGTATTAAAGATTTAATGAATTGCTTCCCTCTGTACTTGATTCAGTTGATACTAACTAAACACCATTTCTATAAATGTATATTATACGTATTTAATGTATTCTTTGCAGGCTCTAATACTAATAACTCAAGTCAGGGTACGAGGTATCCCTTAGTGCTACCCTTTATCCTCTTTTACCATCCATTGACTTGCCAAGCGTCTTGTAATTGCTTTGACTTTGACCAAAACCCGAACAATTTGGCAATCTATCAATCTGTGAGTTCGAAAAGTTGAATCCCCTTGGTCCTTCGATGGCTCCTTGTGCTATCCGAAGCCTCGAATGTCTGAGCCAAAGGACACACAGGACCGGGAGTGCAAGGAGGGAGGAGCAGGAGGAGAGGCCAAATACAATGGCATCCAATCGGAAGTGCTCTACTCTGATTTGCAACGCTCTCCGGCTGTCTCCCTCTGTGCTCGGTCCGCCAGTGAAAGGGTGTCTTATGCATTTTTCGACACTTTCTTGGGGGTTGACCAACCTCCCTCGATCTCCACCCCCCACACCTGCCACATAAAATAGGCGTTGGCTGCACACACATTTCGCCCGGGGGCACTCGGGTGGGGAAAATTTCCATCCGAGACTCTTGCATTTGATGGGAAAATTAATTGTTTGTAAATTGAAATCACTTGACAACTGACAGTACACACGGTGATGAGTTTTGAGACAAAAGAGGAGTCTCCGCAATTATAGACACCCTGTATTTAGACGAGGACACCCTACTCCAAAGCCCGGAATTTGCAACAATGTGTGCAGCTGAGCGAGTAGTAAATTAGCAACGATTTCCTTGCTATAATTGCTGCCAATTATCGTCCTGTGTCCTCTGTGTGTGTCTGCTGGGAAAACGCCAACCCAACCAACGCACTCCTGCCCCATTCCTCTACTGTGTGTGATTGTGTGTGCGATTTTGTGGGCTTTTTAATTGTCAGTTGGCAGCAATTATAATGCGAGCAACTTAAACCACTGTGCCCGAGCAGCCAGGCAGTAAAAGTTGAATTGCGGATATCCGTTCAGCATTTATCACACATGTGCGATCAAAAACGAAAGAAGATTTTGTCACAGAGGGGATATTTCTATTCAAAATATAACTATTCAAGGCATTCATAGAAGGCTTTAATACCTATTAAAAAAATCATCACTTAATTCATGCATTTTATAAGATTATTTTAATTCACTTAGACCCAAGGTTTTCAGAAATGTAATATATTTTAAAAGGTAAATATTCACCAACATATTCGTTTATTTTTTCATCAATTTGAAGCATTTTTCTTTAGCTTTAAGTCCCAAAAAGTTTGATATATATCTAAAATGCATTTCCCAGAATGGCTTTAAAATGAACAAATCATTTAAAAGTAAAAATACCCAAAAATCTTTCATTATATGTTAACAACATTAATTCCCCCACAAAAAAAAGTATTTGAATTAACCCGTGAGTTAAATCGTTGGCTACTCCTTTTTTCAGATTTCCACACACAACAAGCATGCAAATCCCAAAATAATTGCCCTCTCATCAACCCCAAAACAAGCTGGGATTAAGCTGCAGATACTTTGTATCTATCAGCTTGTTCAGACCGAGCGGGCAACTCTAAATCTGATACTATTCAAGTACCCGAAATGCTCTGCATATGCGAATCAATGACCAATTACAGTTAATCTGCTCACAGATACGAGAAAAAAACAAGCGAGGACGCGAAAAAGGATGCGCACGGGGCGGATGCTGAATGGCGACCGTGAAACGGACAATTTGTATGCGAAGCCCGTAATCCCTCTGAGAGCCAGCAAGAGTGCTTAGGTCAAGTTGTTTTACATTCTCTTCACTTTTGTTTTTTTCTGCGACTGCGATACTTTTCCCCTGTCATCAGTCTCGAAATTGAGCGAATCGCTCAATCAAAAGTGAAGTGTTTGAAAGCGTTCTCAACTGAAATCGAATTGTAAGGGAGGGGAGGCAAAAGGACACCCTAATTACATGTGTAGTCAGTCGGGTGTGCTTAGCCGCGTGTCCTGCAGCAGGCAGGCAGGCACCCAAAGCCACTTTAATTGTTTACCCAAAACTAGAGTTAATAAAAATACCGACACCATGTGAGCGCGGCCAATTTAATCATTTGGAAAATCACAATATCTAATGTCCTTGGACCAACCCCTAAAAAGGGATGCGAAGCGACAACCCTCCGACTAGATCTAAGCGTGTTTGTACACAAACTGGGGGCTTAAGTGTTTTAAAGACAATTTACAAATTGGTCTCGCTGATTGTTCCAAGGGTTAATCTAGTCATTCAAGTTCCCAGGTTCACAGTTTCAGTATTGAGTTTGGAAAAGTGATTGTTATATTTGAAAGCAGTTAACAGAACCTCAATAAGTATCAGCATTTAGATCTATATAGAAACGAATTTCATTTTATATAGATTTCTTTAAAATACTTGTATTTAAGACTTTAAATATGGGTATTTCAACTCCCTACTAAAGCCTAACTTAACTCGTAAATAATTACTTGAATTAAATTGCAATTTCAATTACCTGCACGCGTGCTTCGCTCAAATCCAGACGCATAGCCAGATCCTCCCTTGTAAAAACATCCGGATACTGCGTCTTCTCGAAGGCCCGCTCCAGCTGATGCAATTGAAATGTTGTGAATGTTGTGCGGGATCTGTGGAAAATCAAGGCAACGAAAGGCGGCTCTTTAGATGGTTGTTACGAGTTGTAGCAGAAGCCCTTTGTTGGTATGCTTTTTATTAGCCCGACAATGGGTAATTCGATTTGATCTGCTAAGCGGATTTGAATTGTCGCTGCTGTAGCTGTAGTAATTTCACTCACCTACGGACTTTCCGGGGCCGCTCCATATCGCTGAGATCGTGGCCATTATTCAGGCTGGAGGATAGGTCGTCATCATTATCCACATCCAAGCCACCGTCCGTGTTCGTGGGGGAATCCTCGCGCTTGGCCTGGACCTGCAAATGCTGGTGTTGCTGCTGCTGCTGTTGCTGATGTTGCTGGTTTTGCTGGTGTTGCTGCTGCTGCTGCTGCTGATGCTGCAGGTGACTGCTTCCATTGCTGTTGCTGCCGTGCAGGTGGTGAATATGATGCGAATGGGCGTGGTGGGGATGCGTAATCAACACTTCGCTGGGTGTATCTACAAACAGAGGGAGACGATGAACGATTGCTAAAAGTTAAACAATTTCAAATTGAACTCAAGAGCGAGAATGCGCCAAACAAAAAGTTTCACGTTTGACTTTGAAAAGCGAAAGCCAAAGCGGCAGCTGCAGAAATTGAAATTCATTCAATTGTAACTGAAGTAGTTATATCCTGGATTTTAACCCCCTTTTTTTAAGCGCAGAGTCTCGAAAAAATCAAATCCTTGAAGAGCTCGAAAGCTACGCAAATTGATTTGGCAATCAATAACAAATAAATAAATATAAAGCCAGCAAAACTTTCCCCTGACTCCCTTTTAAAGGCATATAAATATCCTTTCTCACGGCGAATAGGTATATAGTTTTTAAGAGGCGAAACCGTTTCTTGCGAGCATGTAATCAAACCTTAATGAACCTCAAATTAATCAGATTCACAATGGCACCAGGACACATACACATCCCCGCGCAGCAGGACGCAGGACCGTTCTGGATGTATCCTTATCGTATTTCGAAACATTTATGCGGCCCGTTGTGGCGAAAAGGTAATTTCCATCGAGCATCAAATTACGAGGCTCGCAGGATGCAGTGTCCTGCGGTGCGCACGCCGCTCGTTGTCGCCAAATTGCAGGCCGAGCCAATGG